TGGTGTAGTTGCGGACAAAGCAATTATGTCGGAGAAACTGGGAGATTACTCCGTACGCGACTTGCCGAGCACGCAGCAGCAGTGAGGCGGGGAGGCGCTAACTCTCAGGTGGCGGCACACTCGACGGGACCCGGCCATATTTTCAAATTTCAAGAGGCCGAAATCCTCGCAAGGGGTGACAACCGCGTGAGCCGCGAGCTGCTCGAGTCATGGTTCTCAGGCCCGCAATCCATCAACAAGCACAATTACCTCCCGGTACCCTATTCCGTACTGCGATTTTCCCTGGGCAAGAGAATCAGTCACGTGGGGAGGGCGCGGGCGAGCAATCATCACGGTGACAGTGAGCCAGTTTGCCAGGCCATCGTCACACCAGCATCCAGTACGGATGACGAAATCGCAGCCATTAACGACCCGGACGCGGACTGACAAGCCACCCTCGCATCACTTACGACCCCAGCGGTGATTGCGAGAGCTTTTAATTACAGAGCACACCTATAAAAACTGCGCTCCTTGTGTCTCCTTTACGCTTATGTGCGACTGTCTCTGATGCTGGGTTCAAGTGAAAATCCGAAACGTTAGGCCAGTAGATCTCATGTTCCAGTGATCGCATCTTCGTGTCCTGAACTGCTTCGCTTTCATCAGATGAGTAATATGACTGTTCCCGTTAGCTTTACTCTGTCCGACGCGCAGACAGGCTCTGCTTCTCTGTCAGCCACTGCGACCACTCCCGGCACCTCGGACAGTAGACTGCTGCCTGGAGGTGGGAAGAGAGACTGAGACGCCGACGCACCAAGGCAATAAAGGTCCTGGCTGGGAGGGTTGCCGACTGATGGGGTAACTCGGACCGCTGGGTAGATTTGCGGACTGGTGCACTGAGGGTCAGGCTGCGGTGGCTCCTTCTTATGCGGCCGCTATTGCACTCCTTATCCGTGGGCTCCGAGTTGGACGCGATCTCTGGGACAGTGGGTTTATTAGTCTGAGCTTTCGGTCTCGTACAGGAGGCCATCGTCAGAGACTGTGGGAAGGCAACATAAAATGAGCGGTTTTTGTAGTCACGCCATGAGGGGGGGGGAAGATATGAGTGCAGAGGGTGGTATTCGCGATAAGTTGCGTCCCACGCCGTCTCACGGTGGCGTGACTGCGTGCACCCTTGGCTGGAAATTGGGTCTCGCCCCTTGGCCGCGGGAACTGAGCGCGTGATAGCAGGGGGGTATGTCAACGTGCCTGTTGATAGCGTTGGTGTCAGACACCCAGGCCTCTAACAGTTCTCGTCCTGTCTTATTGCTGGCCCGCGCCACTATCCGCGTGCTCGCAAAGTTGAATTCGTGGCCTTCCTCCAGGGTGTGAGTGGCGACCTCAGACAACGGGTCGCCTCTCCGGACCGCCCGTTTGTGCTCCGCTATTCGTGAGCTAAGTCGTCGCCCGGTTTGTCCTGTGTAGTGGCGAGGGCAGTCTCGACATGGGATCTGATAGACGACGCCCGATTGTTCACCCACGTCTAGGCGATCCTTCACTTGCATGATTTTGCTGCGCATGGTCGCTGTCGGACGGTGAGCGATACCCACGCCGAGCTCTCCAGCGATACGTTCCATCGCTTCGGACACGTTCTTTATATATGGAGGAGGGTGCCAGAGTATTGGCGGCTCTCCTCCGTTTGTTCGCCGTGGGCGCGTGCGGAGGCAGCGGCTGACGAAGCTGTTCGGGTATCCATTCCTTGTCAGTTGGTCCCGAAGATGCCGAAGTTCTCGTACTCGTCCCTCGGGTTCCCTGCAGTGCGTTTTTACCCTCTGGAAGAGTGTCCTAACACAGCTGCGTTTATGCGCCATTGGGTGGTTACTGTGGTAGTTGAGAATCTGAGTCGTGTTAGTCGCCTTTCTGTACACCATGGTGTTGAGTTCGCCGTTGGGTGTGCGTGTGAAGAGAACGTCAAGGAAAGGCAGCTGTTCGGCATGCTCTTCTTCCCTTGTGAACTGAATGTCTGGGAAGATGCCGTTGAGCAGGTCTTGGAAGTCGGCCAGTCTGCTCCTTTCAATTATGACGAACGTGTCGTCCACGTACCGGCGCCAAAATGCAGGTTCATAGTGGTCGAAGGCGACTTTTTCCAGTTCCTGCAGGACTAGTTCTGCAACCAGGCTGGATACTGGCGAACCCATCGGCGTTCCTTTGATCTGCTCGTATGTTCTGCCATTGAAGGTGAAGAAGGTTTGTTGGCAGAAAGCAAACAGTTGCAGTAAGTGGTCGATTTTTAGGGGTTTGCTCGTCTCGTCGTAATTCTCTTCGAGCCATTTGCGAAATACGTCGCGTGCCAGGTCCGGTGGGATGGACGTGAATAATGAAACCACGTCAAAGGACACCATAATCTGCTCCGGTCGGACAACTTTTCTTCGGATGTCGGCCAGGAATTGGGAGGCCGAATTGGTGGAGGTCCTTGAGCCTTCTCGGAGAAAGTTAAGTTTTCGGGCCATCCACTTGAATAGATTGTAAGTGGGGCTGCCTTTCAAGGCAACGATTGGTCGAAGGGGAACATTGGGCTTGTGGATTTTGGGTAATCCATAAAACCGGGCCAGTGCCGTGCCCGTTGGTTTCATCTGTCGCCATTCGTCCAGCGATATAGCACTGTTTCGCTTGAGTCGGTTCAGGAGTCCAACTAGTTGACCAATCATCGATTTGGCTCGCGAGGGAGGCGTGGACTTGTAGGACTGTTGATCGTCTAGGAGGGCTTGTGCCTTTTCGTTGTAGTCAACGCGGTTCATCACGACGGTTGCTCTTCCTTTGTCGGCTGGCAGCACTATTATATCTCTGTCCATTTTTAATTCCTTCATTGCTTCTATTTCTGCGGGCGACATATTATTGATGGGCCTGTTCGTCAGCAGTAGGGAAGTGACTTTTTGGCGTACGGTGTGTTTAGCCTCGTCGGTCGCGTTGGTTCTTACCAACATGGCTTCAAGTGCGGCGATAAATTTGGCCGGTTTGGCATCTGCCGTATTAAAGTTGGCTTCATGACTCAGCATTCTCAGTTCTTGTTCAGTTAACTGTCTGGAAGATAGATTGTGCACCACATTTTCGTTCGTCTTGTATTTGGATTTCAACTTTCCGAACTTCTGCTCTAGGTTCATGCGTTTTAACTCCTGTCTCCTTTTTGCCAAGATGGATATTGTTCGGCCAAGGGAATCAGTAGCCAATTCGCCAAACAATGTCGCGCACTCTGTCCTTTTCTGTTCAATGACGGCGCGGTACTTGTGTAGGCGCAAGTGGCAGTCGTTAATCAACACTCTTGTCATTTGCTTGCGAAAGCGTTGCGCAACGTTTCTACCTGACTCCTGAACCGACTCCAGCGAAACAGTGCTATATCGCTGGATGAATAATAATTCAGTTACCTCAGGATGCGGCTTGGGAATGGACTTCTTTCCTGCTGCATGCAAAAGCCAAACTCTGTTAAAGGTAACCACATAAGTAGCATTCATTTTTCTAATTGATTTTCGGCGCTCCTAAAAATCCAATTATATTTAATGGAAAACATGAAGAAAAATATTCATTTTTTGCTCATTCAGTGGAAACTGACATCTTCTTCCAATTTTATACTCAAAAGAGGGACATAGTTCGGTTTTAAAAAGTTTCTAATTGCGAGAGTTTTTAATATCGTGAAATGGCCGTTCACAAAACGCCATGTCTCCGCATTTACCAATGTGGCTTGCAAAGTTAGTAATTTAGCTCAAATCCACTGCTAAATTTTATGAACCCCATATGGTCTCCTCCTAATTCCATGGAGAAAAGCATGGTTTTCCGTACGCGGAAAATATGCAGCTTGTAGTTTGAAAACCCTGAATGCAAGTTTAACGGCAGGTAGGTTTTAAAATTATTCGGGAACAGGAAATGTTTTTGAAAACCGAATTATACCTTTCCTCCGTGTGCGAAATTGGAAGAGACGCACTTTTCTACCGAATGAGCAAAATAATGAATATTTTTATGCATGTTTTCCAAGAAAAATTTATGCTACTTAAACACTCATTTTTTACAGAGTGTGGTTTTTGCATGCAGCCGGAAAGAAATCCGCTCGCAAGTCGGCATCCTGAGGTAACTGAATTATTAGAGAATTATACTGCATGATGGCTACTTTTACAACCCTACTTAATTAATCTTTTTGAAACGAAAACACGTTGCGGAGCTCCGGTTGACATTTCATGAGTTAGCTCACCAACTGAATTTCCCCTTCCTGGAATTCAGCACAAGGCCATCAGCACTACGCGGCCGTTTCAATTCCCGCATCCTACAGGGGCTCATAAAGGTATTTAGTTTGAAGCTTGCATATAAGGATAAAGCGAGCAAAACCACAGGACAAACTCCTTTCGTTGACTGAGTTTCGAAAAAGGCCCTAGTGAACATGCCGAGAAATTTCAGTTTTATTTGGTTACTGGCACAACCCTTTGGCTAAAATGGACTCAACTTGTGCCATAATATTCATCGGCGACGTTTTCTCTAGAGGTGGGTTTGAATGACAGTGTGATTTTTGACTTCCGTTTGCAGTATGCAGTAAACCACTCAGATGATACATTGGCATAACGTTGTCAAGCCAATACTACGAAAACATTTCTTATTGACCGTTTCCGCACTGTCAATTAAATTCACTTGTTTGTTTGGAATGACAGTCACGTTGCTGTAGTGCACGGAGAATTTACATCCTAAGGCTTTTGTGCGTTGACGCGCCAGGGAGGATGGTCGTTTGCTGACGTTTCCTGAGGAGGGGGGCGCAGGCGATGCCAATATGAAAACCCTCTGCACACAGCTTAATTTCCGCATTTGAATTTAGGCAACGATGCGGTTATTTGGGTAGTTTTTCTGGATTCCCAGACCTTCTGCAACCTGCCCTCCTTCAAGCAACCCGAATATTTTGTCTGTCTTTCAATAACTTTAATGCATTTGTGAAAATGGTCAGGAGGTGTTCGATAAGACTGATGGGTCACTCGTTCGGATCCACTTGGAATATGCTGTACAGGTTTGACTCAGTAGAGACTGTCAATATCGCTGCCGAGATCGGCAGGGCTACAAAGATAGTAAAGATTCTGACGCACTGTCCTTAGAAGTCGGACTGACCGAAATTATTCGAACCTATTAGATTGTTAGAGGTCATTTCTTATGCAGGTTAAGGACTTCTTCGACCCAACCGGCGCCGTCAGTCTATTACGTTGTGGAGGAAGTTGACTTACGCTGACATCCGACAGAAAGCGTTCTCACGGAGGATCGTTGGAGAAAGGAACTGACTGCCATCTGAGGTAGTACGTTAGGACTCTGCTAAGAAGGTTAAATGAAGAACAGTTACTAACAAATCCAGAAACTACTGTGTTTACAGACGTGATTATATCTTTGGCGGCAGCCTGGTCTGGCCCACACTTACCGTTGATGTTGCGATTCTCACAATTACTGCATTAAAATTTGACTTATTTGCGTCCTCGGATATTATAGGAGAAAAAAGGGTGAGGACTTCGCTCCCTAGATAATGTTTCTCAAAGTTACAGATTTTATAATCTGCGTAATAGATGTACTGAAGCTGAACACTGGCTTCCAACAGAATACGTGAACTCACCCACCGTCGTTTTCCAGCAACTTATCTGTTGAATGCTTGTTCATGAAGGCTGCATATTTATCTGTGGCAAACACTCAGTACAATATTGGCATGGCATATAAGTATAGAAGGTAACGGACAGTCGACTCCGCAGTAATGCTTGCTTTCCATGATCGTTTGACGAGACTGCTACAACAAAAAGTCGTAACTTTGTCCGATGACAAGTAACGAGCTCCACTGCAGTGAAATTCGACCGTCGCATCCGACGATGTCCGTTGAGTGCTCCACAGAAGGGCGAGGCATGCACGATGACTTGCGCGTCAATTATTTTATAGTGAGGGTAGCCTTGCGAAGCATCTACCGCACTCTCCCCACCTTCCCACCTGAGACCGGTGTCAAGACAGAGTCAAGAAGACCGGAGGCTGGAGGGGCCTGGCCGAACCCGCATATTGGCGCTCCACTCCACACCCCTCTGGTCCACAACAAACACTTGATCGAGATTTTAACCATCAACAACGCCACGACGGATCAAAAAGAAGAGGATGACGACTGGACAGCCATGCACACGACCTGTATACCCAGCCGGAGCGTAAACGCACCTACTGGCAGAGAAGTAAGTGCCAGGGAACTGTCAGCTCACACCAGGCTGCAAGGGCCATGGTTTGCAGATCATGGCATAGAAGATGCTCACAAAACTGGAGGCTGCAATGCAATTAGTTTCGTCTGAAATTAGCACCGCACGATAAGGGACCAGGTTGGTCCTTCTGTGCAGGCATCCGAAGTAAGCAGTCCGACTACTGTGACTTCCTGCTGGCAAACATAAATCACGCCTACCGTGCAGTTTATAGTACATATGCGCGTTAAATGGACCTCGCCGCAGCGTCCAGAACTAAATGTACTATAAATGCGCCCTTCTCGGCGAGCTCACATGCTGACAGTCAGTACGTTTAACCGTGTTAGGAATTATATAAGCCCGAGTAGGCGGGCGATCAGAAACTCATCACGGCTTCTATACAAGCGCATATAATGGACTACGCAGACGTTTCGGGGTTAGGTGTGAAGCTGTGGGAGAGAAATGAGGTGCGCGGGGGCCGGTAATTTAAGATTTTGTTTTATGTGTCTCGCCTTCAACTAGAAAGTCCTGCTCAAATGTATCGATTTTTCGTGTTGTTTTGTAGTTGATAAATCTACTAAGCTTGTTCTTGGCTGCATTCAACACCCACCCCCCTACTCGTTTTACTCCTCAGTGCTATGATGACTGACTCTCCTGTTTCACTCCAAATCTGGTGGATCCTTCGGTCAGTGGAGGAGCAACGTTCATCATCCCACCAGGTCTTGGGGCTATGTTTAACTTCCTAAGACATCTTACGCTGAATATGACCTCAGAATACCTGTACAAAATATTCGAACAAAGCAGTCCGTCCACACCCATTCAATCTAATTCTTTGATTAATTTTTTTAACTCCTTAAAATCTCATCCACGCCTTGCATTCTTTACTATCTGAAACTGCCTTACGTTAAACTATTTCGACCTCACCTCAACTTCTTTTCAAGGAATTATTTGTTGGTCAGTCAATTTTAAGCGTTCCACTTACTCTGGGCCTCGACAACGCCTGCGAATGGGCATTCAACGTAAGAAACCCTTATCCGTTTCGCCAATGTTTAAAGGTGACCAGAAGACGACATACAGGGAATACGTAAAAGGCGGCAACTTCACTGCGTATTTTTCTTGCCCGCCAATAGTTTCCCACTCAAATAGCAAGAAAATCTTATTGGGTTGCCGAAGGCCTCAGAGATTTATCTTGATTACTCTCCTGTGGCGGTGAAGTCGTGCAGCGTTAGTTCGCAATCTATGGTAGGGGGCGCTCAGCGATCGTCCTTACGGAACTCACTCCTTCCGTTGTGCCTTATTGACTCTCTCTCTCTCTCTTGAGCCCAACCAGCAGCCGCACGAGCTCGTGGCTCAGTGGTTAGAGACGTGGACTTCTAACAAACAGGTCGCGAGTTCGAGCCTAAGGTGTGCCACACTTCGGGATTGGGTATGACTGACTGACGACGGCTAATAAGCCGGAAATGGCCATTCCAGTCTTCCTTGTCTTTGTCGGTTATATCATTCTGCCTATATAGTTCTCAGACTGTCCATCAAAGACTGTTGGGTGGAAAGGCTAAGGAAGTAGACCAGTCTGTGCTGTATTTTTTTTATAGATGTAACAGTCATTTGGCAGGATTAAGCAGCTATTTAATAAAAAGGAGGGGAACTCCAAATCGTGAAAAAATACCGAATTTCCAAAATGTCGATACCAGAGAGAGAGAGAGAGGTACTGTGGTATGCCTGTCAATCACTCCTCTGTCTGATCACAAACGAAGACCCGGCGGGATATATGCCCATTGCTGTTTGACCCAAACAGTCTATGGTTCCCGGATAGTCTTCAGTCCAACCTGTGAAGGCTAACCCCTGTTTTGTTAAGGAGTTCCGCGGGTAGAGAATATTTGGCTGAAATAATATCAATGCGTGAACGGATCAGAGACTTAGGCTCCGCCGGCCTGACGAGGGAATGACAACCGAGGACTGATGAATTGTTGCATTTGAATTGTCACTTCGGCAAGGATATCTTATGCGACCCCCTTGGGGGAGAGGGGACCGAATTTATTCACGAACCTAACTCCAATCAAGGCCAGGTCTTCAATGAGTAGTCTCTAACCCGTAAGCATTTAAGGAAAAGTTGGTCGTGACCGTAACCCTAGGCCAAGTCCTAAAGCCCTTACCTTGGCCTCAACCCCAAATACAAACCATAGCCCAAGCCTGGCAAACCTAGTCCCAAGAATAACCAACGAAAACATATTTTAACCGATGTCGAAACCCTAGCCTTGAGACGCAAATGGGCAACGTCAATGTCGAGAACGCTATAAGAGGCTTCCTGCATTACTTCTTCCGCCACCTACTGTCCGGTAAACCGTTATGAAGCCCACCAACCACCCTGGGCGGTTACCCTACCCTTACCGTCACTGTGTTTTGTGGTCCGAAGAGTTTTGTGGGCGATCGCCCTCCCCTCCCTACTTACAGGTTATTTTGCTTGTTTTTACAAATCAACGTAGACTTCACGCTGCCAGCTAACAGAGAGCCTACGCAGAGATGGTGTCTACTGCTGTGATTGCGAAGCACAGAGAGAAGAATTTTGAGTCACTTTCAAGTAGATATTTGATTTAAACTGGTCCCAAATTGACCCGATCACACACATACGACGCTCAAGCGAACAAGATTTTCAAGGTCTGTTGATAGGACTACAAACAAATAGGTTATAACGTTCCAAAATGAGCCGCGGACGCTTTTACTTGCATTAGAGCAACAATCTACGCCTTCAAATATGGTCATACTTCGGGAAAAGTGTAATTACAAGGAATGTTGTATTGTCACAAAGGCGGTTCGAAAAGTATGCATAGTAACCACTTAAGTAGAAAAAAAGAGATCTTCCAATAACCGGTAAAAAGTGCAACCATATGGGGGTTAGAAAAACGTTTGCGCTTTTCTGTTTGACCAAGTATCCATAAGGGAGGCGCTCCTATGCGAGGTTCGGCAGTTGTTGTGAAATTCGCGCACTCTTTTGGGATAATTGCATTCACACGAGTCCTAGGACCTGACAATAAAGGGCAAGATAAATAATGCAGCTTTGAGCAAATGGATGCGATCAGTTTAATATTTACGCTTTGGTAAGTAAACAAGCGAGCGGTTTCAATTTGACGAGAAGTGGCTTCAACGGAATAAGTTACACGGGGACTGCATGCAGTGGACTCCATGTGCTTTGATGGCAGTTCAGTGCAGGGTTAAAACGAATACTTAATATTTCGGATCAGTGCATACACCAGACAACGGAGTCGTTAGTGTGGTCAGCTTACAGTCGTGGAACGACAAAAAAGAAATCCTGTATGCTAGCCTAAAATATATAAGTAATGGTAATGTGCTATCGCGCCTCGAATGCCTTTAAAAATTTGTCGGTGGTGATAGCTCGGTGCGTGGTGAAGTAGGCCGCAAAAACAGGATATGTTTTTTCGAGATAACAAACACAGACTTTGATTGCATCAAGCAGACGGACACACTTTAGAAGCAATGTTTGTAGTGGAGGCATTTTGACTCCCAAATGAGATGTTTTAAGTTAGGACTTAATAATATAATCATACGTAGAAGTCATATTTAGTTAGTTTTCAGTCCATAAAACTATATAACAGAAAGCGCCCGAGATGTCGTTTTTAACTTTGCCTACGGATTCAGCCCAAAAATTGGAATTTAAAAAGTCTATTCCCCTCCCCCCCCAGATCACCTGGGACTCTCCCGTTTTGTCTTATCTTGAATGAAGTTGTAACATTTGCTTTCAAAAAGGTATGGAGAAACTGAATTCTGTCCTCAATTGTTATTTAGGAAGGATAAATTTTTGGCAGATTCACCTGTTGTCTTAGCTATGAAATAAAGACAAAATTACAAACCCGAAATATCCAAAACCTGCCAAAAAATGTGTTGCTGTTTTTGGGTATTGAACTTTAATCTAATAAATTTAACTCACGTTCGCTTGCCAGGAATAATTCAACATATTTTAAGAATGTAATGAAAGCAACATGCATTTCTATATTCAAGAGGCATGCCTGTTTACCACACTAAATTGCCTTTATAAGTAATCATAAAATTCGGGATCGATAGACTACATGATAATCTCTAAAGAGTCACCAGCCTGACTCATCGGCCTCGACCATTGTGAACCACTTAATAGGAACTAATTCTGGAACCATGAAAAGCCAGTCAAAAATGTGCGCCGTAATATTACTTTTCAGCATTGTATCATCTGTTTGACTATTTTTTCGAAGAGTACTTTCCTGAAAGTTAGGCAAATTAACTTACGATAAAATCTTATTTGGAGGGATTAGGCAGCCCAAATGTGCCATCCAGCTTTGGGAAGGTGGTTCGCAAATCGCAACTTTCCTCTCCCTGGATTTCTTTGGGATTCTCGGCTGTCCGACGTCTTCTGACAGGTCGACGTTGTCACCGTCCGGGAAGACATCGCACAGCACAGGGGGAATCTCGCCGTTATAGGCTTTGTCCCAGAAAGAGCTGAACTATAAAAATCAAAACAGCCTGTCAGCAGGTTTTGTTCTCTTTTTGAAGGACTATTGATGAAGATTTCAGAATTTCAGCCACTCCATTTCTTCGTCCAAAAACCCTGGAGGTCCATCAGTTTGCCTTCCTTCTGGTCGAAGCATGCCTAACTGCGGCCCTCTGTACAGAGAACGCCAAAAAAACTGAAGCTGTTGGAATTCTCAGTTTCAAAACCCTGAATTCATCAAGCTAATTGCACACGCCAAGAGTTGATTGAAGCTGCATACAGACCCCATGATCAACCGCCTCCAGCTTTGATGAAAAGGTGGTTAATTGTCCAATGACCCCTATATCTGTCGCTATTGTCATCTCTGATTCCTGCAGGAGTTCAAAAACTCAGAAAAATAGACTAATAGTTCCGGTGCCCGAATAACCCTTTTCCATACTCATTAATACTTATCAATAAGAGGAATAGGTTTTCATGAACGTTTTCCTTAAACCCTTATTTTGGCGGTTTCACAAGCTCTGCGATGCTGACCGCGGATTTATTCTATCAAAAGATTAAGTCAGAGGGGATTACTCAAGCTGTGAGCCTGCAGACCGCTTACATTAGCCAAATGCAATCGCTACGAAGAGAAGTTGCGTTTTCATTGATTTTCTACGTGATCTGAATGCAAGTACTTTGCATTCTCATCTCCAAACTGTAAACTTTGTTCTCCGTCGATGTGACCTGACAAGTTTGCGGTCCAGCACCTGACTCACCAGTCACTAAGGCAAAATAATTAGGCGGTTTATCTGTCAGAACATTTACGATCAAAATAAAAATCTCCTGTTAACTGCCCTTTCCTGCCTGGTTGTGCGACCTAACCACCATATCGTCTTCGTTTTCTAATTTACAAGAGATTCGGGTAAAAAGCTTATCATTAGAAAATACTTAAAAATCAACAGTATTGTCCGTTTAGCATTGTAGAAATTAGAAGATTCAAATTAGGGAACTTAAGGAGGAATCTAACGCACCTGAAAATTTCTTTCAAGCATAGTACCCAATTCAAAATCGTCCGCATCCTCACCGAACGGATTTAACAATGAAAGCGCAACCTACAACGGAAAATTCACTTCAGAGTGTAAATATGCCGGAATCTGTTGTAGTTAGTAACATTGACTTGAAAACGTTACCGGGTGCTAGATAGTATCCCGCCATGTTAACATATTCATCTGTACAAAGAGGATTTATCTTGTGAAAAAGAAAAGCAAGGGAATGCCAGACAAGTGTGCACAAAATCCGAGCCAAACGTGATTGGTCGTGCATTAATTTTCGTCAGTTAATAACGCATATTATTGGACTGTAGACCTGCGCATATTTACTTTGGTAACCCCGGTGATAAAAAACAGGCAATCCTTTGACCTTCTGACCTTCTGACTGAGTTTGGCAAGGGTCTCCCGAAGGATTTACTTAGATTTTGTGCGTTGATTTTCAAAAAAGTGAAAAGCTGAACAGTGAAAACTTGAAAATATTCTATAAAACGCACGGGAGTTTAAGGAGACCCAATGTGTGAAATTAATATCTCGTAGCCGTGTCATGCAACGATATGAAGTCCGCAAAATGCGTATGTGTGCTTCTAGCTGACGGTCTAAAGGTCTGAAAGCGTGTACAATGCCAGTATCAGCAAACCATGGCCCTCCCGGCCTGGTGTGCGCTGACAATTCTCTGGCACCTGGTTTCCTGCCAGTAGATGCGCTTGCGTCCCCACTGGGTATACAGGTCGTAAGCATGGCTGCCCAGTCATCATCCTCTTCCCTCTGACCTGTCATGGCGTTGTTGTTGCTGGTTAAATTCTCGGTCAAGCGTTTGTTGTGAACCAGGGGGTGTGGAGTGGAGCGCCAAGGTGCGGGTTCGGCCGCGCCGCCCATCTGCGCCCTTCCCGCCTCCGGTCTCAACTTTATCTGGACACCGGGCTCAGGCGGGGAGAAAGAAATAGTGCAGTTGATGCTGAGCTAGTTTGCACTTGCTATAAATTAATTTGCCCGCATATCGTGCCTGCTTCACGTTGCTGTGGAGCACAATCGTCGTGTGCGACGGCCGAACTGTCAACTAATATCCATACTGGCGGTATATTTAGTCAATTACCATCGGTATACTGCAAACTGTCTGATGACAGGTTGTGAATATTATGCGATTATGTCGGTGAAGCTGATGGAGGTCAGCCTAATTATTACTCTCAACTTTTGGACCGAGAGTGAGACGTTTTACATAAAACATTTACTCCAAGTTGACGCACTGAATTCTGAGGAAATAATAATGCTTAGTGCTGTTGCCGCCGATTGCCGCCAAGGACATCGAGTTTGAAGGTGGCAAAGACCACCCGAAACAACGTCTGCTTCACACCCACACCCGGACTTAATCTAAGTGTTGGGCACAGTATGAATGCAACGCATGAGCAATAACATGGAGGGCGTGTAGGCGAGACGTCATTATCTGATGTTCGGGTATCGAATACGCTGACGGAAAGGCAAGGGCAACAACACACCCACGGATGGGAAGGAGCACATAGATTGATTGTCCTCCTGAACCAATTAAAATCCGAGTGGATGGCGGGGGTCATGTGCAGCCAGAATATAATAGTAGAGAGGAGGTGAGGAATATTGTCAGAGGTACAATGCTGCTTGGGGCTTATTGTGCTTTCATGTGACCAATAATTATTTTGGCTACTGCCTAATGTAAATAAGTAAGGCCCTGCCGATTAATGTCTCCCGGTTGGATACATAATTAATTCTCTTTACTGGAAGAGGCAAGGGAACCCTCTAGCACGCAATACTGACATTAACTAGTATCAAGAACCTACCCCCAAAAAACACTTTTCTTGCTTTGCTGCTAGTCCTGAGCCCATGCGGGAAATCGGTAGACGGATGTGTTAAAAAATATATTTTCAAATGACTGTCACAGTCATTCTCCTGGAGAGACCTCCCAAAATGTGTGTAGCAGATGATTTATGAAGTTTGAATCTTTGGAAGTATACAACTGGCTGTTAGGTGTACTGAAGAACCAGAACTACGTGGTACCGCACACCAGCGAAGAAATAGGACTATACCCGTCATCATCCTGTGCCTATTGAGTTGAAAAATACGCGAGTAACCCTGTCAGTCACCATGGATGCACAGCTGACGAGCTTATACTGACTTCGCTGGCATGGGACGCAGGTTTTGGCTGCAGAGGAAAGTGAGTGTTCACTTCGCATCCTGCTTTTACGATTGATGGTTGAAAACTACTCACATGTGACAGTGTAAATAAGCTCTACTGACCCTCGAAGAAACCCAGTAAAATGAGTAATTACCTTTAGCCAACCGGTGTAGAAGATCAGGTGAAGAAGACCAAAGACTGGCACATAAATATCGGCCGGATAAAGTGGAAGGTCCAGTGCCGGATCCAACATTTGCCAAGCGAAGACGGCAAATGCAAAGTATGCATACATTGTAACTGCGGACACCTGAAATATAATCGCTCTGCTTACCGAAAGAACTAGTTAGGACAAATATGGCAATGGATTCATAAGAAATAATACGAGGGACCAACTTTTCGTCTGCTGTAATGTGGTTATGCCTTAAGCACGGATTTAGACGACAAGGGATGTTAACTTGAGACAGGTGCGTCATAACAATCATAGGGTCTGAAATATGGGTCTGAGATATGCTTCCAGAGTCTCAGACACCAATGTGTACTACGATGTCGAGTGAGGACCCCCTCGTTTTTATTGTAAAGTGAGTAACCGTGGCACAGCCAATTGCGGCGGAAATGGGTGACTTTCGGACTTAAGTTTACCAAACGCAGTGACCGGTTGCCTTGTTTAGAAAAACATACTATCCCTAGTCCAACAGTCAGTGTAGGCTGTTGGGAACTGGAAGATCATACGGTCGGAAACCGTCTTCCGCGATGTGACTAGAGATATCGCAAACAGCTGCCAAACATTCTCCAATGAACCCAAAACGACAAAAAACGTAAACCACTTGTCAGCGCAAGGCCGACTGCGTTTATTAGTCATCTGAAGGTGCGTTTGACTTGGTGACTTTTACGCCTTGACAACGGTAAACCTACCGAGCTCTTCGAAACGTCAATAGCATAAAGTTTATTCTTCTTACACTGTTTACCCCAACTCTCCACTTCGTCGGCCCGAATAGTCATTATTTTTCTTCCAACCTGTAAGGACTTGGCTCTCTAATCTCATTTCCTTTACAGAAGATGTTCTAACTCATGAACTGTTAACCGAAACTCTAAAATGTATTTTCGACTCGAAAGATGGTAAGATCGCAGTTGGTAGCCAGACATTATACGTTGATGCCGACGACGTACGTACGGTGTGCTTACCATGTCTAGGGAACTTGTTATCAGTAGGTGTGCTCTTACTGAGTTAGGCAGGTCGCCTGTCTCGGTCAGACTCTTGAGTTTAGTGAGGGTTGGGGTTAGGCGTAGGTTAAGTTTTAGGATTGGCGTTTGCGTTTTAGGGTCAGGTTTCAGTGTTATGGTTACGGTTAAGGTTAGTATTAGGGATAGGCTTAAGGCTAAGGTTAGGGTCAAGGTTAGGGTTAGGGTTATGACTAGGTTTTAGCTTAGCGTTGCATTTAAGGATTTTAGTTACGTGTCGGTTTAAAGACTTAGGTTTAGGCTTTACGGTTGCGGTCAGGGTTGGATTTTAGGGTTAAGTGCAGGGTTTAAATTTCCGCCATTGTTCCACCTACTTAAAACTTCCCAGCACTTTCCCTGGTAACTTTACTTTTACCCAGAAACTCCAGCATTCCTCTATCAGCCCTTCCATTTACTCCACCCATATAACCCTTTTTCCAACCATTCCCGTACTACACGGATCTGGATGTTCGCCTCCCCATTCCTGACTACCAACTGCGATCTAACCGAAAAGATTGCTTAAGTAGGGTTGTAATTTTGATTACCATACAACACAATCCCATGATAATTTAGTTACTCTAAGATGCCGACTTTTAAATAAACTTCTTTATGGTCGCCTGTAAATAGTACACTTTGTAAAGATGACCTCTTAAATAGCATTAATTTTTCTTATTGATTTTAGGTGTCCTTATAAACTCAAAAATATTTCATGTGAAACTTGTAAAATAATATTTATTCTATTACTCATTTCGTAGAAGGCCATGTCTTCTTTACATTTTATACTTAAAGAAAGCGTATAGTTTGCTTTTAGAAAACTTTTTCAATTCCCGAGTAATATTGAGCCCGACCTGCCTTTACACTTGAGTTTAGGGTTTACAAGCCACAGGTTGTTCATTTTCCGTGTATGAAAAACCACACATTTTTTACCGTACTAAGAGAAAACCATAGGGGGTTCATAAAATAGAGCGTTAAATTAGAATCACATGGAAAACGTGCACAACAAGATTAGTGAATGCGGACACTCGATGCTTTATGAACGAGTATTTCACCGTCTTAAAAAAAAACTCATAGTTGGAAATTTTTCAAAACCGCATTATGCTATTCCTTCAGGCATCAAATTTAAAGAAGACGTAATTGTCTACCAACTAAGTTAATGCATGAATATTTTTACCAACGTTTCGTCTAAAATATTTTTTACATTTATAGAGACATTGAAAATAAACGTCAGAATGCATGCTATTTATGTATTCATTTTTTGCAGTGCACTTTTTACAGCCGGTCGGAAAGATTTTTTTATAAAAGTCGGCATCCTGATAAAACTAGATTATAATTGGATTAGACTGCACGGTGATTAATGTTACAGGCCTACTTAAGTAATTTTTTCGAGTTGAAGACGCATTTCAGAGAGTCGATTTACATTTCATGAGTTGGTATATCTACTGTAAGTCGGTAGTTTTTCAGGGATGTCAGACCTTAGTGGCGACATATTCTCCTTTAAAACGCATGGAGCATGGACTAGATGAAAAAAAGTAGCTTGTTCTCCTTTAAATGCCCTTCAATGCTCTATATTTAGAAAATTTTATTATGTTTGACGGCACCGGAGTAAAGAGGCTATTTGAGTCTGCAGTTCTGTGAACAAGCATGACGTCATCTGCGGTGATGTCAAGATAGAGTTGATGAAAACACTTATCCTAGCTACTGAATTGTAAACGCTACGCTCGTGACACTCATCTCCAGACTAAACACTGCACCATTTGAGTTAGCGTGAACGCAGCGTCAACTGAAAACATGAACACGTAAGGTAAGAGACGCGTAAACAACATTTAGCATGTTCCTACCTGAGTATAGACCAGTGGGACGTTTATCCAGTCATAGGCGTAAAGCGTGGCCAAATTCATGCGACCAGACATGAGTTCATCGATCAACCGCTCGACTGCACGTTGGCTAGTTATTGTCCCCTCTTTCTCCATTTCGGCCACGAGGTCCCCCGCCCAGAGCAATGGCAGGAAGTAGACCCCAGTACCACAGTCATTAATACTGGCAAGGTAAAGCTGCATCTCCTCCTTTGTCATTATACCTAAAAGAGGATATTTCAGTCGAAGGTACCAGCTTATCTAACGAAAATGAACTATTATTATTATTATTATAGTTGTGAAAATCCCAATAACTATGTTCAGAAGAGACAGTTGCGAGCGAACGTTCCTTTCGGTAAATACTCATCAGGCCAATACAGTTACATAGGGCGAGGTACAGTGAGTTAAACAAAAATCGATAAAAGTTAGGTTTTAAATTACAGGCTAGGCAAGAGCGGAAGGGCGCAGAAAGTTGTATGTGGTTAGTCAAACTTTGACCACGGTAAGCGCGGAGCCTGAACAAGGTACTTTTGGGCGCATAGGGTCGGTGTTCGTGACCTTATGGCGGCCGCTTCTGCTGTTGCTAACAGGCGCTGGCCAAGTAGCTTAGGGTAGCTCGAGGGGATCTTATAAATCACACGAAATGCTTCAGTGGGGTCCACACGATGCCCTGAGTCCACTGCATGCGCAAGGACGACGCTATCTATTCTTCTAGTTTCACCTTTTGCCAGCCATGCGGGAGGGCGCTCTCGTATTCTTTTGGAAAGGCGCCGACTCATACGACCAATATAACCTTCTCCACAGGAGCAAGTGAATGAGTAGATGCACATTGAGGCGGTCTGAGGGGTCAGCCTATCCTTACCTTCTCCGCGTAGAATAGGGTTAGTAGAGAATGATATGCGAACCCTTGCTGCTGGGAAGGTTACCGAGGCAGCTTGGTCAAGGCGTCTTCTTAGGAGTTCACCAACAATGTCTCCTTGGAAGGGGACTCTGAGGAACAAAGCTTTCTTTTCGGCGGTTAGTGTGGTGGGTTTTGCGGGTCGTTCGGCAAGGTTTTTTGCAATGAACCTGTCAGTGTACCCATTTTCGCGAAGCAAGTCCTGGATTTTTCTAAGTTCCTCCTCGATACTATCTGTTGAACAAATTTTTCTAGCCCTTTGTGCCAAACACCTGACTAGATTCCGTTTTTTATGGAGAGGTATAAAACTGGCGAAGTTCGCGTATTGCTTCGTGATTAACATAAAGACAATATCATCTCAATTTTGTCCTTAACGATTGCCTGGGGTGAAGTATTCAGTTGGAGGGACATTCAGGATGTCATTGTTTCATTAGAAAATAAGGAATACGATTGTTTACCTGAAAAGTCTGACATGGCGTGCACGGCTTGAGGAACCGAATTTGATGCTTCAGGTATTTTTTTCCAATAAATATGCTTCACTCCACAAATATAATAACAAAAATGTCTGCTCGAAAGATACTTCTGGAGCAAAGTCATTTGCGACCGCGCTGGCCACATATTTACCCATTGGGCACTTTAAAAACGGAGACTAGAGGAAATTCAGGCTTTTTGGAATAAAAACATTCAATGTTATTTCGAGATGTCATAAGTAAATCGCTTTGTCTCCTCCAGTTTTACGGAAAACATTCTACAACATTTTCGAGATTGTCCCTACTTTTACGAGGTAGATATCATCGCCTTACACAGACATTTGAGTGTGAATGACTAAACGACCCATGCAAGTTGGCGGTTTAATGAATATTACGCGTACATCCCGCTGTGGCTTATGAACGTCTGTCCAAATATCCATAGAAAAATTTCGGTCTGGGCCTATGGACCTTTGTTCGAAATGATTTAACCCAGGCTAGGGGTTCATCTCTGAGGAGAATAAAAACCGGCAAAGCATCCGGCATCCTTCCGGCGCCGTTTTGCAACTGCAGTGATTTGCTCTGAGGAACAGAAAAGGGAAAAAATCCATGTGATAGTTCCTGTGTGAATCAGAGTATCACCCGTAATTTTTTAATTTTCGCTAAGCGCAAACTGCATTTTAGCATGCTTTAACAAATAAACCGTAAAGTATAAGGCATTCGCATAGGTAATTAATTCTTATAAGTAGCGAGGGTTTCGTAATAATTACGTAAGCGGAATCCAAAACAACTCACTGAAGGCGAGCTTTTTCGAGTTAGTAACGCACAGGTGAATTCGGGAAGTTCACAAACCCAACTTACAGATTTTGCGGACTCGCCTTGCACTTCAAATTTATTCAATCAAACTTTATTCCTCAACTGACGCAATCCCTGCCATGCCCTAGAAAACTCAAAAGTCTCTTGACAAGGAGTTATATACAGGTCTTGTCCATTGGTCGTTGACAAGTGGCATTCAAGAAGTACTGCAATTTAGTAAGCCAATCGGTTTTCCCGTCGAACTTCATACGTGGTTAGTTCTTGTTTCCACACACTGGACGATACTTCACAGTCAGGACTGTGTAGACGCAAACTGGGCCGTCTGTGTCTCGTAGATAGCAAAAGACTCAAAATAGCAGCCGAAGAAGGCCTCGATTTCTGCTGGGAATTCATTAAACCTCAAGCTGATTTATCGCGGCATTTCACACCCAGGAAGAACATTTATGGGCAGTCTATACTAGGCTGTTTGCTGTTACCTTTATTGTTTTTACGGGCCAGGCAAAGTTCATGTGTTCATACTCCGCAGGGTAATTATGTTTTTCTCCATAATATTCAAAAGGTTTCTCATGAGACTAGTACTACTGTAGCACTATAGCCTTGGGCTCATTGTAAACATTGTTCTCCACACTTTTTGAGATACTTTCATTCAGCATTTTTGCTAAAATTCGAAATCCAAGCGCTATGACTGTCAATTGATGCAGGAGTTGCACTTGCTACTTAATTATTCTTGAACACACTTAAAAAGAATTCGGGTGTACAGTGTTCATTGCTGACTTCAGCACCCTTGTTAATGGCAACCTAGCTCGCTTAAAGGGTAAATACAATTTTTACGCATATTTGCTACACAAACGTCCGACAACCCCCTATTTACAGGGTCTTGGCATGCCATTTTTGAAGGGGCATGAAAAAACTTCTGCGCCGCTCATGAAAGTGCGCCTTTAGACGGTCATCAAGAGTATCTGTTAGGGCGCATACTCATATATTTAATCATGGTGGACAAAAAGGTAACTGCAAGATATTTAACAAGTCCAGTATAGTTCGGCAGCATCCAGGAAACAATTACATTTTCTGCGAGGCAAGGACGGTTCGAAAAACTGTTTTGGGAAAGCTCGTTCACCCTGTGTGATGAGAACATGTTTATTTTGAGTCGGCCTCAGCCAGTTACGGGCATTGAGACGTTCACATAATTCGTACACGTCACCAGATAACTTGATCCATTTTACCGTAACTACCGCTGTGACGATAAAGCCCATGGTATGGTCGAAACCAATTTAATTTTAAATGTCATCGACGTTGCAGAGTGATGCGTCACACATCAATCAGTTGCCCCACATTGTTTGCACGCGTTCTGAGCAATATTACCAGCTTTATTTCCTACCTTGAAATATTTCACGTCGAATGAAGTATGCTAAGGCTCTCTGGCGTTCCTTGCACAGAGCGATAGTTATTGTCTCCTCTTTCTCCGTTTCGCAGATGAAGTCCCCCGCCCATGGAAGTGGCGGGAGGTATACCCAAGTAAAACAGTCATCGATACTGGCAAGGTAAAGCTGCATCTTCTCCTCTGTCATTATGCCGAAAAGATGATATCTCAGTCGAGCTAACTAGCGGATCAAACGAAAATGATGGCCCGTTGTGCTCCATAATTAGCATAAAAACAGGACCAGCTCAATTAAAGATTAGCCGCTGTGAAAAACTCTCAGCTACAGTTTTCGCCTGAAACTTTGACGCCGAAGGAAGATTGATAAGGCACTCTACCTCTACTTGTACAGACCGCCTTGATGCGTCCAATGCTACTAACTTCAGAAAGAAGTAGATTTCTCAACAATTAGAGGTTGTTTGTGTTCAAAGTTCACGTTGCTATCAGTGGCCGATCTCATGAAATGTCGACCGGAATTCTGAAATGAGTTTTCGATTAGGAAGAATAGCATAAGTGGGCTTATAATACCGATTATTTGCAGCATTAACCAAGGATGTTTCATTCGTGCCGAGATACCGAAATATAAATGCGCTTCTTTTCGGATACTTGGAAATCTACGCTCAATAACAGAAAATTACCTAAGTGTTGTGAAGTTTCTTGACGATTTTCGATGTCGCACATATTCAGATGTGCCTCATGCGAGCGCGAATACCAACATTCTTTACTATACTTATTTTATAGAAAATCATCGCATCTTACTATTCTTTGCTTGAAGGATGGGGATCATTTGGTTTTAGGAATTTTAAATGCATAAAAAATTTTGAACTCAACTCATAACCAAAATCACGCTCAGGATTTTAAAACCTCATGTTTTATACTTTCCGCGTAAGGAAGACCACGCATTTCTCGACGCTGTTAACAAGCGTCATATAGTGGTCATGAAATTTAGCAGCGGATGTAGACTGTATCGTCTAATTCACAAGCAACATTACTAAACGTATTAAAACAATACCGCTAAAATAGACTTTTTACGACCCTAAAAAACGCATGCTCAGAAGAATCACTTCCTTCGAGTCTGCAATTTAAGAAGTGAGTTACTAGCAAATAAATATAACAGGAAGATTATTGTGCGNATTAGCCGCTGTCAAAAAGTTCCAGCTACAGTTTTCGCATGAAACTTTGACGCCGAATGAAGATTGGTAAGGCCCTCTACCTCTACTTGTACAGACCGCCTTGATGCGTCCAATGCTACTAACTTCAGAGAGAAGTAGATTTCTCAACAATTAGAGGTTGTTTGTGTTCAAAGTTAACGTAGCTATCAGCGGCCGATCTCATGAAATGTAGACCGGAATTCTGAAATGAGTTTTCGATTAGGAAGAATAGCATAAATGGGTTTATAATACCGATTATTGTGCAACATTAACCAAGGATGTTTCATTCGTGCCGAGATACCGACATATAAATGCGCTTCTTTTCGGATACTCGGAAAATTACGCTCAATAACAAACAACTACCTAAGTGTTGTGAAGTTTCTCGACGATTTTCGATGTCGCACATATTCAGATGTGCTTTATGCGAGCGCGAATACCAACATTCTTTACTGTACTTATTTTATAGAAAATCATCGCATCTTACTATTCTTTGCTTGAAGGATGGGGATCATTTGGTTTTAGGAATTTTAAATGCATAAAAAATTTTGAACTCAACTCATAACCAAAATCACGCTCAGGATTTCAACACCTCATGTTGTATACTTTCCGCGTAAAGAAGACCACGCATTTCTCGACGCTGTTAACAAGCGTCATATAGTGGTCATGAAATTTAGCAGCGGATGTAGACTGTATCGTCTAATTCACAAGCAACATTACTAAACGTATTAAAACAATACCGTTAAAATAGACTTTTCACGACCCTAAAGAACGCATGCTCAGAAGACTCACTTCCTTCGAGTCTGAAATTTGAGAAGTGAGTTACTAGCAAATAACTATAACAGGAAGATTATTGTGCGTTTCCCGAAAAGGATATTTGGATCTATGAACCCATTGAAAATCAGTAGAACAAATGCATATTAAGCAAGAAGTTATTTTTACCGAATTTGGCTCTTACATGAGGCTGATGAAAAGTGCATCCAAAGGCCAACATCCTGGCGAGTTTGCAATATCAATGGATTATGCCGCACACCAATCAATATCACAAGTATAATCAAAAACGTATTTCAGAATTCCAGTTAACGATTCATGAGATCGGTCACTGACTGTAAATATACTTGTAAATTACTAGGACATGCTTTTCCTGACCAGCAACTTTTTTATGTGTTTGGAACGAATTTTCCTGGAAAAATGTCGTTACTTATTTGATTTTTCCGCAACAGTAGCCAATTAGGAAACGAAAAATAATAAAAGTGGGTTTATGTACAATCATCGTTTGCTAACAAAGTCTGACACGTTTTCCGCAACAGACCTCTTTAGCGACGTAATCATGGAATTTTCTCCTACAGTGTGTTTATGCCCATTAAGCAGAAAAATCCATCAGGCTAAAATGGTGAAGCTTCTGTCGTTTCTAGTTTCGCCGAATTCTCCAATATTTCAAAATTTCGCCCTGCCTGCGCAGTATACAGGACGGCCAAAAAAGTGACTATTTTTGGGCGTCAAATCGAAAAATACAAAGAGGTATAACCTAAGGTCTAACGCATCATGAATGTTGACGTCCCAACAGATGCAAACAGGGCTTTTCAGCTCTTACTGCAATTGGTGGCAGCCATATGATTTTAGTTTGAAAAGATTACCCCAGGATGTTTGCGTGCAAAATGCGCACACTACGTACACATATCACTTGTCTAAAACGGGTCGTGCTGTAATTGGGCTAGAACAAAAGACGGAGCGCAGATCACAGCACGCAGACGTTATTGAGGATGCACAAAAATGTAGGGCTCAGGGTCAGGGCTCAGGGTCACGCCGTGCCACCCACCTCCCGCCTCCGGTCTCCTTGACTCTGTCTTGACACCAGACTTGAGATGGTGCGGAAGGGGGGACTGCGGTGGATGCAGAGTGAGTCTAATATCATTTTAAATGCAAGTCACCTGCATCCTGCATCCTCCTCGCTGTGTGGCACTCGGTGGACCCCATCTGCAACTACGGTCTAAATAGCATCACGTTGACACCTGCTCCTGAGAATATGAATATTCAAGCCAGCACGCTGACGTATGTAAAACATCTGGCGTCGCTTCCCATGAATGTTTTTTTCAACTCTGCAGTTCGGATACTCGTTCATACATATACTGATTAAAAAATTGGAGTTGTGAAAATTCCCACGGCAATATTCAGAATACGAGGTGGCGAGCAAACGTTGCTTTCCATAACCCCTCTTCGGGCCTGTACAGTTATATGGGAACGGGGTACACTGAATGAAAAATCGATAAATGTTAGTTTTAAAAATACAGGGGGACGAGAGCAGAAAGGCGCGGGAAGTTGCGTGTGGTTAGTCAACTTGCGTGTACTTCTGAGGCAATTTGGCTAACTGCAAAAGCACCGGATTCACCGAGCTTTCACGTCCCGACGGTCTACCGACCGCCTAGAAATGATCCCACAGCGGACGCCCGTCTTATTGAGGACCTGGAGAGATTCCCTATCCGGTCCGACGTCTTAATCATGGGAGACTTCAACGCACCTCTTATCGACTGGAGTTCAGCTTATGCATCTGGTCCAGACCATGCTTTCGACCGACGTTTGTTGGACATGGCCCTCAGGTTATTTCTCACTCAGCACGTCTCCTTTCCTACGAGGGTCCGCGAAGGGCAACAGTCAAACTGTCTGGATCTGCTCCTTACGAAGTCACTGGACAGCATTGATGAGGTGCAATGTCTACCTCCCCTAGGTCGAAGCTACCACGTCGTACTGTTGTGGGAGTACTCCATTTTTTCTCTGCCCGAACAGGCCACCAGGGTTAGAAGGAACATTTGGCGCGGTGACTTTGCCCAAATGAAAGCGGAACTAAAATCCATAAACTGGGAATCAGCTTTTTCCGGTGACATAATCAAGGATTGGGACTGGTTTAGTGAGTTATTGCACTTTTTCTCAGAGACCACTATCCTGTTTCACGGAGGAAACTGAACAGCAGACCCCGGTGGCTAACACAAGCTTCAAAAAAGGAAGTGAATAAAAAGCGGTTATGGATAAACCTCCTCTCGGATAAGAGCTATGTGTCGATAAATGCATACAAAGCACAGAGGAACCTAGTTAGGAGGCTAATCCTCGGGACGCGGCGTAGTTTCGAGAAAGACCAACTGAATCGAGCGGCAGAAAATCCGAAGTTATTCTATGGTTATATAAGAAGAAGCACACGAAACAGAGACCCAATCCCCTTATTGAAAACTAGTGACGACCTAGAACTCAGTGAAGACGGAGAAAAGGCAGATCACCTTTTACAATTTGTCAAGTTCATCTTTACGAAGAAAAGCGCATTTTTCCCTCCCGACTGCAACGTAGTGGACAGGCTAACGATTGAGCACGTCTCTTTTGTCGAATCTATTGTTCGCAAAGAACTTTTAACGCTAAATGAGTCTAAATCACCCGGGCCGGATGACATACCGCCGAAATTGTTGAAGTAGCTTGCTGGGGAACTATCCAAACCGCGGTCCATGCTCTTCCAAGTTTCGTTCGAAGCAGGCTATTTCCCCACTGATTAGAAATCCGCACGGATCACGCCAATTTATAAAGGCGGCAGCAAGGTCTTAACAAACAACTACAGACCAATCAACCTTACTTCACTTTGCTGCAAAATTATAAAAAAAATAATTAAGCGAGAAATAATCCACTTCCAAGAAGAGCATAATCTGCTATACGATGCCTTGCACGGATTTCGTAGAGGCAGATCATGCGTGACAAATCTACTTTATTGTTTAGATCGCTGGACCGGAGCAGTCGATGGCGGCAATTCAGTGTACTCAGTCTACGTCGACTTTAAGAAAGCATTCGACAGTGTATCACATCAGCGTCTCCTGTACAAATTATGCCGAAAAGACATAAGGGGTTACCTCCTGAGGTGGATCCAAAGCTTCTTGATCGGTCGCTCTCAAATCGTCCACGTCTGTGACAGGCAATCGGCGGAGGTAGTGGTTGAAAGCGGTGTTCCACAAGGCTCAGTTCTTGGCCCTACCCTATTCATTATATACGTCAACGACTGCGTCAGGGAACTGAATCGTGATGTCGCCATGTTCGCTGATGATGTTAAACTTTTCAGCGTCATTCGAACTGAATTTGACGAAGAGCGCTTGCAGGCAGACCTGACCCGACTCGAGAAATGGTCACAGGACTGGCTGTTGCCGTTTTATGTGACTAAGTGTAATGTCCTGCGAGTCGGCAGGACCCGATCTCTGAGCCGGAGGGTTTACCATCTAAATGGCCTACCATTGCAGAAGGTAGACTCGCAGAAAGACTTGGGTGCGTGGGTAACGGCTTCTCTAAAACCGTCGCTCCACTGCTCTAAGGTAGCCAAGTCCGCGATGTCAGTCCTTTATCTTGTCAAAAGAGCTTTCTCTACCCCCGATGAGGACTGTTTCGTTAAATTCTTTCGGACCTTTGTACGGCCACAGCTAGAGTTCGTTATGCAGGCGTGGAAACCCTGGACCTCTAAAGATCTCACCATCCTTGAGAAAGTTCAAAGGCGGACAACCAAACTCGCAAGTGGACAGGGTTCACTACCCTATGAAACACGACTGTCCAATCTCGGCCTTTTTCCTTTGAGTTACAGACAGCTAAGAGGCGACCTTATACAAACATTCCGTATAATGCGCGTTCAGGACTGCTGTCTCTTGCCTGCTGATTTCGTTGAGTTAGCAACCACAACGAACCTCCGAGGTCATCCACTTAAACTACGTGTGACTGGCGCCAAGCTGGACATTCGGAAGTTCTTCTTTTCAAACAGAGTGATCGCAGCTTGAAATGCTCTGCCTGCAGATGTCGTCATATCCACCTCCGTCGAGGCTTTTAAGCGCAAGTTGGACCAGTGTACCACTAAACGTCATAATGTCACCTGACCGACGTCTTAGCATTTCGACCGAACAGTTTATTAATGTTATATTACTGCTTGTATTTCAGTAACGTTTGTTTTCTTATTATTGTCCCATGTCAGTCGAATGTGTATTGGCATTTACTTCGTCTCCCTCAGAAACTGAGATAGCACCAACCATCCATAGACAGACTACTGTACAGCGCATTTAGTAACGCCAATGTTTTCAATTCTTGTCTGTCTGGTTTCGAAAAATTTGCCAATCTGAAGTAACTCTCTAGCTGTTTGATGTTCACATTTTCAAATTTTTGATATAGTTCGCCTCCTTGTAAGAAATAGGGAGTTCGAAGGTTCAACACCTATATTTCCGTAAAATAAACTGAAACTGACCACGATGGGCGTGGAGCTTGAACGAGGTTCTTTTGGGCGCATAGGGTCGGTTTTCGTAAGTTGATGACGGCCGCCTCTGCCGTTGCTAACAGGCGCTGGCCCAGTAGCTTAGGGTAGCTCGAGAGGACCTTATAAATCACACGAAATGCTTCAGCGGGACCCACATGATGCCCTGAGTCCACTGCATGCGCAAGGATGGCGCTGTCTATTCTCCTAGTTTCACCCTTTGCCAGCCATGCGGGAAGGTGCTCTCGTATTCTTTTGGAAAGACGTTGACTTGTACGACCAATATAACCTGCTCCACAGGAGCAAGTGAATGGGTAAATGCACATTAAGTTGGTCTGAGGTGGCAGCCTATCCTTGCCTTCTCCGCAGTAAATAGAGTTAATAGAGAATGGTACACGAACTCTTGCCACTGGGAAGGTTCTCGAGACAGCTTGATGAAGGCGCCTGTCTAGGAGTTCGCTCGTAGCGTCTCCTTGGAAAGGAACTTTGAGGAAAAGAGGTTTCTGTTCGGCAGTCAATGTGGTGGGTTTTGCGGGTCGTTCAGCAAGGTTCTTTGCAATGAACCTATCGGGATACCCGTTTTTGCGAAGCAAGTCTTGGATTTTTTAAGTTCTTCTTAGGTATTATCTATTGAACAATTTCTTTTTATCTCTTTTTGCCAAACACCCGGCTAGATTTCGTTTTTGTTGGAGAGGTACGAGACCACCGAAGTCGTGTATTGTCCAGACCAGGTTTATTTCCGATAGACACCCCTTCGAATGCTACCGTCAGGTCTCCTGTTTAGAAGGACATCTGCGAAAGGGAACGAACCGGCCGATTCCATCTCTAATGTGAATTTGATCGACGGATGTGCCCGATTTACGGCACTTAAGAGGGCATTAACGTCATTTTCTGCGGTGGCAATCGTAAAGATATCAGCAACATAGCGACCGCAATGTTTAGCCTTGTCGATCTGATTGCTCAGTTGAAATCTTCCCAGCATGCCCATGAAGACGTCAACTAAGAGAGGTCCAAGTAGCGAGCCCATAGCAACGCCGCCTATTTGTCTATAGAGTTGGTTGTCCAAAAGAAACTGCACATTTAATGTGCACCTTAGGAATAATTCCCTGAGTGTGTTTGTCGGCATTCCTATTTCTTGCTGATTGGCAGATAGAAAATCACAGATGTAATCAACCTTCTCGGTGACCGGGACGTTTGTAAAAAGTGATGCAACGTCTAGTGAGTACATCATCATGCCCTTACGGTTGAGGCCTTTACTATGTTTAATGAATTGAATGCAATCGCACAAAATAAAAAAGTGAAGAATGTGACGAAAAATTCGTAGGCACAGACTAGCAAAATGTAAAGAGAAATGGCAAAAACGAACAACGCTGTGCCATAGCTTTAAGGAAAGGGTAAAAATGACTTATATGGCCGTCCAATTTAAAATTCAAACAAGAATACTCAGCAAAAGTAAGTAAAGATGAACCAATGACAAAATCCATTAGGCAGCCATATAAGTCATCCTTCCTAAAGGAAGCGTAGACGAGCTCACAATTGTTTCCCTTTTGATATGTGGCACTTAATGAACTCATAGTAAATCCCTATAGCCTTCACTGCCACTAAGGGCTGTCTGTGTAGCAAATTATTAACGGCCTTACTAAGACTGGAATAAGCGGGGACCACACATAGACAATCGTTACGAATAGAATAGAGTGGATTCAGGACAGACATAAGACACGTTTAGCAAAAGCGACCGAGTGAGAGGCCATGTTGGGAAGAAATAAAAACTTGGTTGGCTGTGTAAAAATCAGTAATTCTGATTGCTATTAATATTCCAGACAGCTTAGGAGGAAAAGGTGTTTTTAAAATTACCCAGTAATTTTGACAGGAACTTGAAATAGATTTAAATACTTGGCAGGTAGTTAAGAGAATACGTTTTTCAAACGCCCAGATATAAATGAACATTGCGACGAGAATCGCATTTCTGTGTTGGTGACCGGGACGTCTGTTAAAAGCGATGCAGCGTCTAGTGAAAGCGGCATCATGCCGTTAATTTTGAGGCCTTAAATGCCATCAATGAATTGAAAGGTATCTCGATAGCTTTGTGGAGCTAGCTGATGCTGTATGGGCTTTAGTTTCTCTGCTAATCACTTCACTTAAAAACAGCTGGCGGGATTTTTAGTTTGGTTATTTCGCATAATTTAAAGCAAGTATCAGATTGTGGATGAGTCAAGTATCATCATCTACCATTAAGTATCTTTACTTACTATGCAGTATTGTCCTTTTGGGCCTTCTGCAAAGCTATTTTCATTCCTTGGAAAACTAACTGCATTCTTTGGAAGTCTTTAAATCGAACTTTGTTTCCAAATCCGACCCAAAGAGACGAGCGCGTTCCGTAAAACGATTGATCAGCGCCCCTCTAACAATGTATATTCCCGATCGCAACCTACAGGACAACGAGTCCGTGGCTCACTGGGTAGAAGCGTTGAACTTCCAACAGACATTTCGCGAGTTCGAGCCTCGGGAGTTGCATATCCCGGGGTCGGGTATGGCAGGCTGACGACGGCTTACAGGCCAGAAATGACCATTCCAGTCTTCCCTGTCTTATTCGGTAATGCTATTTAGCCTACGTTTACTGTATTTACTGTGACTTAGATGTCTCAGTGTATTGTGATATGATTTTATTCACATGGCGATAAAAACGATGTTTCAAAGAAGGGTATACATAAATCAAGGCATTTTCTTTGGCATATAGAATGAGCCAACTGTAACCAGGAAACATATTAATAGCAGAAGCCAAATATAACAAAAAACAGAACCCAAACATGATCTTTCTCAACGTACAGGTAGAGTCAGTCCGCATACAATGTCAACGCAAAATTTAAAATCAAACAGACTTCACCGAACACCGTATTTGTAACAGTAAAAGAAGTTACGTCGTACACCACCAGAGTTTGTGGCGCCAGGTAGGGAGTACTTTTTAAAAGCACAACCAGGTAAATCCCAATACGTGTAAAGCTGCAACTGCTTTAACGTAACAACGAACGACAATGAAGCTAACAGTTCATAATGGGCCTGGAATTTCGGAGTGTATGGCGCATTGTGGCGAAATTTCCATCAAATTTATTTTTAAACTTGAAAACTATCCTTCCTAAGTGAAATATGGCATACTTTCTTGTGCTTTTAGATTCCTTTGCAAGTATATGGAACGTTGCAACATTAGAGACAAAACTCCTTAGGCTAGATCCGAAAGTCGATGTGAATGTTTCAGCTGTATAGTCAAACCCCCTACAGTTTAGTAGTGCAGCGATGCAAAATCGGCAGAACAAACACTTCCAGGTAATTCCTGTGATTGCAACATTGTAATTTATTCAACATTAGAACACGCACTAGTCAACTGTGATGTGTTCTGCAAGGTAACGCAAAATCTCTCTGCGTTTAGAAAGTGGAAACTCAGAAGGGAATTAGGAAAACGCTGACGTACTGTCAGTATACAACAAGTTGATTGGAACCTCACTGGCAACTGGTGTAAAAATTTACGACTTAAAGGCGACTCCTCTTTAGTAGTATTTCTCCAATGTCCGGTCTCATAAAAAAACAAAAATACGACTTTCCATTATACAACGCACGTGGGCTGATATATCCTACATACGCTTAAGTCATGCCAGCAAGTTGTATTCATTCGGCTTCGGACCACATTTTTATGGCAGTACGGTAGCGTATTTAACAGGCAAGTTTAAATAGGACGCATTTATGCACGGTTGGTCTCAGCAGGGAGCTCCGTGTTTGCACAATTTGCCGTTCTTCATATTTTCAGTCTGAACACAACCAATCGTAGTTTTAAAATGAACTAACGAACATCTTGTTCCATGCATTTCAAAGTTTTCAGGAACTCTATGACTAAATATTCTCGTGGAAATTCTGGGTTGTCAGAATTTCCACGAGAATATTTAGTCATAGAGTTCCTGAAAACTTTGAAATGCATAGAACAAGATGTTCACTAGTTCGTTGCACTGGTTGTTCGACAGTCATAAGCGACCACGACTGTCCTTGGAGAAGGAGGGGAAGTGGCACCTTGTGCGTGAGTTTATTTCACGTGAGGCACAATGAGCCGCGCCTGCCACAGTCCGTTCGCACACTCACCGCATTTCAAGGTCATGACAAAGCCAGGAGGACTAGAGACGTGTATGGGCACTACGCCTAAGCCTGCCCACACATTACGCGAAAGATCTGACCTCTAAATTCACAGGAACCAGACTTCAAAGAAAGAAGCGCGTCTCGGAACCCACGCAGGAACCAAGCACATGATCGTAACTGGGCCCCAAGTGCATCAGCTTTATTATAATGTGTAATGAGCTGAAAAGGCAAAAGGACAGATGACTACGTGTTTGTCACACCCTTAACTTCCTCCCGTATGCATCGACGGCCCATCTGAATGTTTGCTCGAACGGTAGCGTGATCGGGCGCTAAGTGGTGTGATCCGCCGTCTAAACAGTGTCATACACAATGCAGCCAATAGGGATATTGATGCAATTCAGATGCCATAAACGGTCAGAGATGGTTACGTTGTCGCACCTAAGGTAAACGAACCCCAGCCGTCCGTAATAGGAGACCGGTGGTGATAGAGGTTTTTGTAGGCGTGGTCGGGGAGCGCACAGGCGACAAGGTCAAGTCATTGTATGCAAAAGAAAAGATATTGGGGATGCGCGCTTGTACTTTGGGTGGTTGAAGATTAGTTGCCCTAACCTCCAACCTTGACCCTTAACCCTAAGCTCTTATCCCCTAACCACAACCCGTAATCCCTAACCCTAAGTCCTAACCCTAATCCCAACCCTTACCCTTAACTGCAACCCTAAACTCTAACCTCAAACCGTCCGACGCGAAAGTTAGATGGAGACGACAGGCCGATAGTCAGAAAGGTAAATGGCAACAAGAAACAAGGCCGCGCACAGAACACCTATCGTAACACACAGCAACACTACGCCAACGTAATCACAACAACTCAAAATAATTAAGTAGGTCAACGGTATTGTGTCCATCAAGTGCGGCTACATAACCATATCTTGCCGTTTTATTACGAAACGCGAATGCATCACAGCAGTTAGACAGTCGTTGCCGACGCTGTCCACTGTGAACTCCACAGCAAAGTGAAGCAGACAAGGTGGCTTACGAGCGATTTAGTTTATAGTGAATGTGGACTTGCGTAGCATCCACCGCACTCTCTTCTCCTCCCCCACTTGGGGCCGGTGCCAAGACAGAGTCAAGAAGACCGGAGGAGGGGCAGGGCGCAGGTGGATGGCGCGGTCTAGTCGGCACCTTGGCGTTCAACTCCACACCTCCTGGTCCACACAGCAAATGACGGGGAGTTTAACTAACAACAAAAGTGTGCGTGGCACGGCCGGAGCCGTACCTAGGCGTGGCGTCACCTCTGGCTCGGATCTCAAAAAGTGTCATGAAGGCCACATTAAGGATCCATTGCAGGCGACGAGGTCAAGCAATTGTATGCAAAAGTAAAGCTATTGGGAATGCGCGGTTGTACTTTGAGTGGTTGAGAAAGAGTTGCCCTAACCCCTAATCCTGAAAAAGTTAACACGAAAGTTAGAAGAAGACGACAGGCCGGAAGTCAAGAAGGACCACCGGAATTTGACCAAAAAAAGTAGACGCGGCAACAAAAAACAAGGCCGCCAACAGAACACACACCACAACGCTCAGCAACACCACGCCAACGCAACCACACCAACTCAAAATAATTAAGTAGGTCAACGGTATTGTGTCCATCAATTGCGGCTACATAACCATATCTTATCCAATAAACATATAAAGAATGTTTGTCGAACGCCAACGGCAAGCTTGCAAATGACGTGAAAACTCACTGAATCAAAAGCCCAATAAAAGTAACTGCCGGGCCAGGGCTTTCAATATAACAGAAAACAAAAACTTGGCATCATTATAAGTTACGGCCAAACTAAACAGGAACTGGAAAATTCTCGCAATTTATTTGCCGATTGCTAGCAATTCCAACGGGCAACCGTCATCAAATCCGGCTTCGGTAAACAGGTGATTGCGGTCTTACATGCATTACCAGGTTCCTAGCTAAAAAGAAATTAGATAGAAGCAGTTGTACCCCAACGCAGCATATGGGTGTCTCCGAGAATCGTATCCCACTCAAACTTTTGCGTCCAACCTTTCATCCGCTTAATAAGCAGGGTTCGCACTGCATCAGTTGATACTAGAGATATGAAATCCCGAGAGTCGCTTTCAAATGACGCTGGGATATTGTCGTCTTGCTTTGAACCCCCCCTGTTTAAAGCCTATGGAGTGATCAGGAAGCTTCAGCGGCAGAATTTGGCATTCTAATGTTCCTAAACAAACTACGTAAGGCACATTTGCAGCATCAGAGTGAGAAAGTTTTTGACCCGAAAAGTAGGATATGGTTTCTATCGGGGAGGAGTTTAAACCAAAGGGGGAATTTTAATTTTTCTGCGATTCTGATAAATTCAACATATCATTACTTTGAAGAATTATTTTGTTTTGAAATTGAATATGTAATTTTGTCGTACTTTGGAATCTATGCAGGCTCATAAATAACCGATATGGGTATACGAAAGGGTCAGTGTAATATATGAATGTAAGTTGGTATGTGTATTTATCACGCGAAGTCTAATCTGTTTATTTTATAGACTTTTCCGTCCTCGATCCTGAAAAGCAAACAGAAACTCAAGAATAAAACACAAAATCTTTATCAGAAAGAAGTCTGTTTGACTTCACCGCAAATGGCTTGGGACAAAAGAGGCCTTATTTAGGTTAATTATAAAACTGAGGCACTCTGGACATCAATGAGACGCAGGCAGCCGAGGACCAATTATTCACATTCGGAGTCACCGAAAGACGCGAAGTACAGCAATGCTAGGTTTGACCCTACTGCAGTTTCCATTTGAACTCGAATGCGATAGTCAAAAAGCGATAGAAATCCATAGGGGTTCGTCAAAGTAGGCTTAGAAAGAAGAGGAAAAGCACTTAAATTCTAATTTGTGTCGAGAAATGCAGGTCAGTCTTGAAGAAGATTCCACTTTCGTTACTTGAAGAAAATATCGTGCGAGTATTCTGCTTCGCTTCAGCTCTCATGATTATTGGGCAGTTTTTTTCGCACGGATAAAAAATCACGATAATCTAGGAGGAATACTTTAGGGTGACTGCTTTTAACGCAGTTTCTTTAGTTGGGGTTGCTTACACAGCAGGCGGTACCTCTCCCACTCAACTTAGGTCACGCTCAGATAGTGGCTTGCAAAACACGTTTTATCATTCTCCGCTTCCCAGTAAAGCAAGCTATAAATGCGTGAGAGCTTGCGAGCTTAAACTCACCCCATAAATTTGAATTTGGGAAGGCCTTAGCGGTCACAATTTGTTCAAGTGATCACTATGTCTTCTAACATTGAAAACTAGGGTGCAATTGTGTGCGAACATAGGTTTTTATTTAGCGCAAGAATAGTTTTTATCGAGAATTTTGCCAAACTCCGTGCGAATATATAACGGCCTTTCCTTTGACGAATTGGACAGCGTCGATCAAGGCTCACCATAGCCTGATTTAGCTGACGAAACAGGTTAGTCTTTGGCATACGGGGTGCGGTGTACTTTTAGTTTAAGATATACATTAGTGCGGGATACGTAGGCATTGTAGTGCTTCAGTTGTTTCATGGACACAATTGAATGCACGGTGAGTCAAAATTCACTCCTGTAAGTAAGGCAAAATCCTGCAGACATTTTATAATTTTGACCTGTTGTCCCGACAAAAGACTTCTGCGAACTTAACGTTATTTCATATTGACCCAACTGTGAAAAACTCGGCGCCTCGGTTGGATTCGAACCCACGCAGTAAGGGGGAAGGCTTTAGTACAGCCAACGCTCTACCAAATTGAGCTACGAGGCCCCGATGGACGTAGCGAGTTTCGTCACATTTGGGTCAAGTTGCACGCCCAACCTACTGCAACGTCTGGAATTCACCAGATCTGATACAGTAAGTTGACTGCCCAAGCAGGATTTCCTAAGTCATTCACCTAGAATCCACCAGATGACCACCAGGCTCACGTAATTCATAGATATTTTGACAGATTTTGAATAATTTATGTTGGTCGGGTGGATAACTTGGCCCATAAGTTACCGTGCCAGGCTACTGCAACGCCCGGAATCCAACACATCTGATTCAGTAAGTTGACTGCCCAAGTAGGATTTCCTAAGTAATTCAGTCAGAATTCAGGCTCACGTAATTCACAGATGTTTTGGCAGATTTTGAATAATGCATATTGACCCAACTGTGAAAAACTCGGGTCAGTTGGTTCAACATGCATTATTCACAATCTGCCAAAATATCTATGAATTACGTGAGCCTAGTAGTCATCTGGTGGATTCCAGGTAAATTACTTAGGAAATCCTGCTTGGGCAGTCAACTTACTGTATCAGATTTGGATAATTCCAGACGTTGCAGTAGGTTGGGCGGGTAATTTGATCCAAATGTGATTAAACTCGCGTCGTCCGGCGGGGCCTCGTACCTCAAGTGGTTAGAGCGTTGGCTGTACTAAAGACCTCCCCTTACTGCGTGGGTTTGAATCCCCCCGAGGCGCCGAGTTTGTCACGGTTGGGTCAATATGAATTATTCAAAATCAGCCAAAATATCTATAAATTAACCATATTTCATGATTTGAGTCATGAAATCTACGTCCGGAAATCTAAATCTGAGAAAATGGAAAAATGCACACCTACATGTCGGTGTGATGTAAGTATTCTCCGAGAAAATAATTGCATAAGGGATACCATTAGAAATCATAATCGTACTTACGAAACCTCTTACAGGCCTATCTCGAAATAAACAGAAGTACTCGGAAATTACCAGCTTCCACGAGGTGATCGAGTGTAGGAAATTGGCGTCGAATTCGAGAAGAAATGTCCAGCAAGCAGAAGCAGTAGCTGAGGTTAAAGTAGCGGAGCAAATTGCTCCGTTGCAGCCTAACCTTTTCGGAGTCTCCAGGAGCGAATGCGCAGACAGCAATTGTCCATGAATCAGGCCACATAAGCGCGTTGAATTGAGCCCACCAACGGTCAACGACAGTATTTATGTAAAACCCCAGTACGAATCCGATTGGTATTTGTTCAATAATCCATTCGCAGTAGAGACAAAATGCTTCGAAATTCCTTTATTCAAAGATGGAGATGGAAGGCCTCTGTTTTAAAAATGCCTGAAGTTAAACATCATCAAACTTTTGTAAATTTTGATTTTAGGCACCTGTTTCCTTGGAGTGAGAGATGACCGATAGAAACAGCCAGGTCCACCGAATCGTTTGAACTGGGACTTATTTGCTGTTAAAACTACAAACTGCTATTATTGTTTCAGCGCAATTAATTCGACTTTGACGTTTAAAAATGTCGATGCAACTGTTTATTTTAATTGTATTATATGCCAAAAACCTTTCTTGAATGAATTAAACAACATTTGCGAACTGCTTTTACTGTGATTTTCTTTTATTATTTAAGTTTGCTTAATGGGGCTTTCACCTATATTCGCGAGGAATAAAAAGCCTAAATGTGGATATCCGACACGCTTTACCTAAAATTACGACAACGCCTTACGGCGAAACGGACGGAACAATCAGTTCCGATAATGCCTGTTGGAATACCCTTGCACTTTAAGGGCGAACACAATCAAAATATAATTAAGTGACTGGAAGAACAGTCAACGTAGCCGATCTCATACTCAGCGATCCCATTAAAGCCATGCGAATTCCATGGGCAAAGGATGCCATGCCATTGCATGCCAATTCAAATTGTGTTTACAAATAAGCATGAACTAGTGGAGGCAAGTAAACTGGACAAACGCAAAGATAACTGGCAGTCAGGTCAGTTGAGCACCTGCCTGAATGGCTTCTGAAGGAGGAAAACAACATTTCCCATTCTTATATCACAAAGCACCTCCTAGCATGTAGTCACTCTGCTGATCCCAAAACATTCTTTCAGGTGTTATTTGGGTAACGAACAATTCGGATATTGCGCTACATAGAGGGAGCCTACATACAGTGAGATAAAACCCGACCAATGCAAATAGTTAGACCACGTGGTTAACCGCGGCTTGCTCCCTCTGCGTGTTAGCTTCCATTTTTTTCTTTCCTGTGTTCTGTTTTTTAAGTTAAGATGTTGATTTATTAGTCTGCTCGCATCAACCGATGACCTCGCTGTTTTACACTGGTTCTTCTGTGAAAATTTCAATCATTGTATAGTTGTCATCCATTATCTCTGCCATGCAGCCGCAGATTTCAGTTGATAGGTTGTCACGAAACTTGTTCGTTAAAATTAATTCCTCTGTGTACTCCTGTTTCGAATAAAAATCAGTTACTTTCGGTCATCACTAAATGGTCAAGTCATTCAAGAGAAGAAACCTGATCTTACTCCATTGCCATCAGGCGAAAGCGTATTTTGCGCGATTGTTTTGAAACCACATCTCTGACAGGAAGGAGAGCAAAAACATATTGCGCGTTGAAAATTGTTCAAATTAAATTCATGTCAACCCTTTTCGAGTGCCTTGCCACTGAAAAGTCCTCACTTTCTCTCTAACTCCTACTCCAGCTCCAGTCATTGCATCTGTCTAAATTTAAATCACTCAGTACTTCGCTTTATATTGCCTCTTAAGGGTTTTCTTGCCTGATAAAAAATAAAGCAGCTCCTTTCTGATCATTTTATTCGCAGGAAGAGGAGAACTTCATTTTCGGCTCGCCGGCGATTCAAACTCGGATCCCCGGCGAAAAAGGTTGTTCAAATTATCTACTAGTTTGCTCGTTCTCAAACTTCGAACGTCAAGGCAGACTTGGTTTCGTGCCTTATACACCTAATTCGGAGAATAAACACTTTCCGGACAGGTCAGTTTGCATAATACTTGTCCGCTCAACCGAATCAGTACTGTGTACCATATTGGTTTTTTTAGACGCTGTAAAACGGATCTCAACAAAATGTTCGTATTTTTGGTGCCGGCAAATTTCAGGTTGCCTATAATCAGTGGACGATTCGAAAACATAAAAAAGAAAGAGTATCATACTAGCAACATGCCCTTATGGTCTGCACGCCCCGTCTGCGTGCTGACTCTCCACGTTCTTCCCTAATTTGTGTTTTTAAGTTACCATTTTTACTGATTACTCTGCCTGAAGTAAACGATAACCTCGTTCTCTTGTGCTAATTTTCTCTGTGAAAGTTCGAATCTTCATACCTTTCTCAGCGACAGATTGCAGTTGATAAGCTGTTCTGAAATCTGTTGGTTCATTTAAATTCTGCTGCGTATGCTTGCTACAGACCTCCTTGTTAACTCCTCAATAAGACTACAGCTAATTTAGCATACAGTCACAATAATTTGTCCATAAGTTTCAAAACAATGCTTTTTTTATTCTTGCTGGTGAATCAAGTGTCCGAACTTGGCCAAAGATTCCTAAGGAAACCGGCCAGTTGGCAATTTTATGCTGAATCTTCCATGTGAAAATGACGCAAGGTTGCATGATCTGGCTAATCGGAATCAAGGGCATGTTACGACAAAGTATCGTTGTAAAGGCTGACTGTTTCGGTAATTCGTCAGTAGTTACGCGTCTAACAATGTGAAACAAGATTTAATCTCTAGGCACACGACAGAGAATTGGAACATGGCAGCGAAACCGGCAACATCGACAGTCTGATCATCTTCTCGTCCTCGAATGGTGCTGCACAATCAGGAAAACTCTGTATGTATGAGATTATGAACACAAAATACGGTTGCCCTTTACGGTCCAAGTCAAGTGAACAGAAAGAAACAACGGGTCATACTTGAAAATTATAGTCCGCAATATAGCGAACAAAACACCTGGATTTCTTGAACTGCATCTCATGCCCTGATCCGAGTAAGACCCATGTGATTGTCTGCATAAATAGGACATGTGAGCTCCTGCAAGTAATAGTCCGATCAACTCCGTCAAATGACCGCCAATTTATTACAGAAGAAAACAATGCCTGTCGGCTCAGAATATTTGGCACGACGGTGGAAATCTCCAATACAGGCGAGGTTAGATACAGACTGTCTCCAAAAATGTGATCAATATACGCCGCCGATGTGGACCGTTGGAATGCATTTTAACTCTGGACGTTTAACTATCGAAATCCTCTATTCCTCGGAAGCGGGTTTGCATTGTTGCCTTGCTTGTTAAATGATCATTGAAAGTCCTCCTAATAAAAACTAGGCAAAAAGGATCCCTTTTGGA